TATTCCTCATGTGAAGGAATAATGAAAACTTAAAAACAACCTAATCTAAGAGTTTTAAGCAGAGTTTTACATAATCGTGTCATTAGAGACTATGAATACTCATTCTGTTTTTAAAAACACTGCATTTGTCCTGGAATATTTGGAAAGAACTAATCCCTCTTGTTGTAACAGTTCACTGTCAAGGTTAGTATTCTAAAATCTGGCATAGGTTTATTTCTGAAAGTTTATATTATCATTATATAATTACAAAAATATGTTTTTCATATTATGCTATTTTTTTAAACCTAAACATTGCTCTGTAGAGGGAGGCAAGAGATTAATTGTTCAGCCTTTGGCAGTAATTCTCTGTGTGAATTTGGAAATTTTAACTTCTTTGTTATTTTTGGCCTTTATTTCATCAGCTACAAAAAGTAGCAAGATCAGGAGGTCTTGATGAACTTTAGCAGCTCTAATACTCTAATAACCTATAATAAATTTATAAATCAACCTCAAAGAACTATATGAGAAAATATGAAGGCTGAAAAACTCCAAACTCTTTAAAGTACCCTTTAAAGGATTCTTCTGCAGTTACACAGGAGGTTGTTGATATTTCTCTCCTTTAGTATGGTTACTCCCTTAAATGAATTTTAAAACAAATTATGTGTTAAATATTAAGATATTTGAACTTTGGTATACTTATGACACCTGGTGGTCAAAAAAAACATCACAGTTAAATTCTAATTTCCCAGACACTCATTCTCCTCAAAGGAACTTTTCCATCTTGATTTATCCATTCATCAAGCATCCAGTCATTCATTCAAGAAACACTTACTGGATACTAATTATGTCAAGACACTTTTTATGGAGTAAAGGAAGACATAATAATGAGTTTTGTTATATGTATGAGATTGCAATCTATTTAGGGCAACAGAATAGACTCTATGAAAAAGTGAATAACCACAACATGCTAGGTATATTAAGTACACTCTCACTAAAGAAGATCAGAAATATGAATACTATGAGTCCATATGATTGACCTATGGTTTGGAGAGTTCAAAGAAGGCTTCTTGGAATAAGTGATCCTTGCCTTTCTTGGGGCTTCAGGTTCCCCATCTGTAAAATGGTGGTAATACTTTACTGTTGCATAGGATTTTTGTGAGAGATTTACTGACAGAGTGCATATAAAGTACTTAGTATAGCCCCTTGCATAAGGAGTCATTCGGTGATTAATTGTTATTATAACAAAACCAAAAGTAATCAGGGAAGACTTCATGTATATTAACTATTCCCTAAATTTTATTTCAAAAATAATTATGGTTCAAACTTATATATGTTTTCTTTAGACTAAATATATAGAACATGAGATCAATTATTTTAGTTAATTAACTGGATAAACACTACACACAAAAAAAACAGTGTCAGCTATATTTATAGTTTGCTAGAGAAACTGGTCAATTCAGCAAAAATAACCAACTCAGTCACAATGACATTCAAAGTAGTTGTTTATTTAAAAGAGATGATTTTTTTACTGAAATAAATATAGTAAATATAGTCTCTTTGAAAGTATCGTGTAGTCAGTGCAAAAGCATCAAATAAGCTGGCTGGCATTGTGTGAGCTGAGTGTGGGTTAACTGGATCTTTTTTTTGGGGGGGGGTGGTTTAACTGAATCTTAAAATATTTTAATTGGCTGTGTTGGGAGGTGAATAGGCACTTTTTCAGACTCCATGTTGCTTTCAGTAGTTAAAGTTGAGTCTGTCTCAATTTCCCATTAATTACATAAAATGTGTAGCAAACTGCTTTTGCATACAATTAAAAATACAAGGCAACATTAAAATGTCATTTTTTTTTCTAAATAAGATACATATGTCATTTCCTAAAAAATATCAAACATTTAGGTTGTTAAACAGCCACTTTCAAGGCTAAATAAGCAATAGTATAGTGTTGTGTTTTTTGTTTGTTTGTTTGTGTGTGTGTGTGTGTTTTTTTTTTTTTTTTTTTTTTTTGCCAAAAGCAATAATGTTCTGATCCAGAAAAGACATAAAGAAACGAATAAAGACAATGCCATTTTGGAAATGAATGTCTAATCAGAATTAAGGGAAGATTTGAGAGGAGACAGGGATTGCTGTCTTTCATATTTCAGATGTTTTCAGCTTAGCCTGCCCCCTCTCACAGTCTGGGAGCCCTTAGGGATGTCCTACTATCAGCTTAGGCCCGCTCCCCATGGGAGGCAACCAGGATGATCAGGGGAAGGCAACGACGCCCCCACCAGCCTGCTGCTGCTGCCACTGCCAACTGCTGCAGCTGCCAAGGCGTTTTCATCAACACGGAGTCCAGTCCCTTCACACACACACAAAAAAAAGACAAATTTTCTTTAGGCATTTTCAAGATGTCTCTCTCATAGAAGATGATATTTCTTTCTTCCCTTCTTTCTTCTTTCCCTTTCTTTCTTTCTTTCTTTCTTTCTTTCTTTCTTTCTTTCTTTCTTTTTCTTTTGTTCTTTCTTTCTTTCCTCACCTGAGGAAAATCAAATTTTCCATTGATTTTTAGAAAGCGTGGAAGAGAGAGGGAAAGACAGAGAGAAACATCAGTGTGAGAGGGACACTTCGATTGGTAGCCTCCTGCATGAGCCCTGACTTGGGCCCTGGTCAGGAAGGATCCTGAAACCCAGGTACATTCCCTTGACCAGAATCAAACCCAGACCCTGTGGTCTGCAGGCCAAGGCTCTATCCACTGAGCCAAACAGGTTAGAGCAGAATATAACACTTCTTAGCCCCTCCAACATCAGACATTCATTTTTTCCTCCAAGAGTGAGGTGGGAAAACCCTAGAACACCTATTGGATTCTTATTACCCAAGTTACTAAGAACACTGTGAGTGATGTACCGAGAGCTTAGCCATTGAGTGGTCAGAAAAGGTGTTTTCTCTGCAGCTAACATGCAGAAGCGGGACAGCCAGCATGCCATGGCTGGCAGGCCCTCTTCTCTCCAGGCCTGCTCTATCCATGGTTTGCCTCACTGCGCACGCAGTCCCATCCTGCTCACCTGCATGTGCAACCTCCTCCTGAGCAGTCATAATGTTATGGCATCCCGGACAATTTGCATAATATATATATACTCAGTATCATAAATCATAATGAAAATGAAAACCACAGTAAGATATCATTTCACACCTGTCAAAATAGCTAATAATAAAAAGTCAACAAAAGACAAGCGTTGGTGAGAAATGTGAAAACTACTGTACTGTTGGTTGGATTTTAAGTTGGGGCAGCCACTAGGAGAAAAAGTATACAGGCTCCTAAAAATATTAAAAATAGAACTACCATAATACCCAGCAATTTTATTTCTGGGTATTTATTTAAAAATGAAAAAAAAAAGATGAATGCACTTCAATGTTCATTTTGTCATTATTTACAAAAGACAAGATCTGAAAGCAGCCTTAGTATCCATTGATCAGTGAATGGATAAGTTATTTATGAAATATTACTCAGCCATAAAAACATAAAAAGAATGAAATCTTACTATTTGTAACAACATGGATGGACCTAGAAGGTGTTATGCTAAGTGAAATAAGTTAGAGAAATACAAGTGCTGTATTATTTCACTTATATATGGAATCTAATAAACAAAATATAAACAAATTCACAAATACAGAAAACAAACTGAGGGTCACCGAATGAGAGGGGAGTTGGGAGGGATGGATGGAAAGGTGAAAGGATAAATAAGTACATATTGGTAGTTACAGAATAGTCATAGGGATGTAAAGTATAGAATAGGGAATATAGTCAATAATATTGTAGTAACTATGTATGATGCCAGATGGGTATGACATTTTTCAGAGTGCATAAATGTCTAATCTCTTTGTTGTACACCTGAAACTAATATAATATTGTATGCCAACTACACTTTAAAATATTTTAAAATTTAATCATCCACATTGATATCATTTTACTGAGCTTGCCCTGTGGGTTGAAGTAGAAAATAGCCCCTTTTATTACATCTACCACCAGATACCCTCTAGTTCTTCAGTAGTCTGGTAGTGTCTTGAAATGGTTGCAAGAATAGTCTCAATACATGTGAATGTCTGAAGCTACTATAATTCTGTAAGTAAACACAGATCTTTAAAATTACAAAAGCTTCCAGAATGTGTCATGATTAGTAAGCAGAACTAATTTTACTTTCAACCAAATTCTGAAAGAGGCAAAGGTAATCTGAATTGCAACATCTTTCCAAGCCCCTATCATCCCCAACCTGGCAGCTATTCTCTAGGCTTTTAAATATATATTTCTTTATTGATTTTAGAGAGGAAGGGAGGAGAGAGAGAGATAGAAACAACAGTGATGAGATAGAATCATTGATTGGCTACCTCCAGCTAGCGCTCCCCCCCCCCCCCGCACCCCCCCCCCCCCGGGGATCAAGCACACAACCCAGGCATGTGCCCTTGGTTGGAATGGAACCTGGGACCCTTCAGTCTGAAGGTTGATGCTCCATCCACTGGCTAGGGCCATTCCCTAGGCTTTTATCCTATGTTTCATTTCCAAAGTTGCATAATTTCACCTCAGCAATTACCTAATCCTCAATAAAATTGCAGTTAAAACTGATTAATTTCTTCCAGAGTTGATGATAGGGAAATAAGCTAGATTTCCAATTTAAATACAAATGGAGACAACTGTAAAGCTGAAATGTGGAACCCCACCGACAGTTGGAATGCACATTTGGGAGATATTTCTTGATGTCTTGTTTATTGGTAATTTCTACAAATTTGGTTACTCCCTTTGATTACAAAAAGAAAAATATGACTGAATTTATTTCTAAAATAATGACCCTTTTGATTACTGTAAATATATTCCAAAATACTTATCCATTTATAGAGTGGCATGCTATTTTTAGTTTATGTAGAAAAGATCTAAATTTATGAAAGTTGACACTTGAATACTTCTTTAGTAGGAAACAAATATATTTGTATACCCAAATATAAACTGACATGCCTTTGATGCTATTTTTACTCTATTTTGGGCAGAAATCATCTGATGCTTTTCTTAAGGAAGGAATATAAATCCGCAAGATGGGAGGTAACAGCACAAACAGTACAAGAGCAAAGTGGACTGACATTCAAATGCCATTTCAAGATACCCTGTATGCAACCACCTACATCCTCATATTCATCCCTGGTCTTCTGGCTAACAGTGCAGCCTTGTGGGTTCTGTGCCGCTTCATCAGCAAGAAAAATAAAGCCATCATTTTCATGATCAACCTCTCTGTGGCTGACCTAGCTCATGTGCTCTCCTTACCCCTCCGGATTTACTACTACATCAGCCACCAGTGGCCTTTCCAGAGGACCCTTTGCCTGCTGTGCTTCTACCTGAAATATCTCAACATGTACGCCAGCATTTGCTTCCTGACCTGCATCAGCCTTCAGAGGTGCTTCTTTCTCCTCAAGCCATTCAGGGCCAGAGTCTGGAAGCGTAGGTATGATGTGGGCATCAGTGCTGTCATCTGGGTCATTGTAGGCACTGCCTGTTTGCCACTTCCAATTCTGAGAAGTACTGGCTTAGCCAACAATACTGAATCCTGTTTTGCTGATTTAGGGCTTCAACCCATTAGCATGGCTTCTTCCATTGGCATGGTAACTGTAGCTGAACTTGGAGGATTTATATTACCTGTTATTATTATTACTTATTGTACATGGAAAACCAGAAAATCTTTATGGGAATTCCAAGTTCCTCCTCAGAATACCAAAGAGAGAAAAAAAGCTTTGTGGATGGTCCTGATGTGTGCAGTAGTGTTCATTGTGTGCTTTGCCCCTTACCACCTCAACTTCCCACTTTTTATGATGGTGAAGCAACATGTATTTTCAAACTGCTCCTTTATCAAGAGTATTCTATGTTTCCATATAATTTCCTTGTGTCTTGCAAATCTGAATTGCTGTCTTGATCCAATTGTATATTATTTTATGACTTCAGAATTTCGTGATAGGTTTTCAAAACATGATGGCCTGTTTTTAAGTCATGTGTGAGATGCAATGACAGTGTTTTGGAGATTCATCACAAGGAGAAAGATCTTCAAATTATCTCCCTCTAATTTTTGGATGATTCCAAGACAACATAATCAAACAATTAGCAAGAATGATCTATATGCTCTGTCAGCTTAGCTATGTCACCTTGAATATTTTTTTCTAAAATGATGTTGACTGCCTTAACAAAACATGCACCCCTTTATTCTCAAAATTACTCTTTTGAAGGAACTACTCATGTCTATATGTTCTGTCCAAACAGAAACAAATTTTTCTTTTTCTTTTTTTTGAAAACATTTTTCTTTACAGAAAGTAATAAGCAACTGAATGAATTGTCCAACTGTTCCTCCACAATGGGTATAGTCTTTTCACTTTCTCCTACCAAAATCAAACAAGAAAAAAAAAATAATACACACACACAGCAACAAAATGAAATTGGAAATAGGTAGATATAGGTGAATTTTGAAATGTTTTAAAATGTATATGAAAACAATATGATCCTAGCTTTATTTAGAAAATAACATACCTCTTAAGCAAAGTAGGCTAAAAAGGACAGGTTTATATTAATAGAAGTTATGAGAATTGATACTTTTATAACTTAAAATGTCTATGAGACTTTTACTTTTTCCTCTTGGAGAAAGAAACAATTCAGATAAATCCCAAATATCTCAAAAATATCAAGACATTCACACAGAACACATACACGTTAAACACAAAATAAACTTGTGTTCTAACATATTATACAAAGTTCAGAGTTTCAGGGTTCGCAAAGAAAGTTCTTTGCTTGAGTATGTGTGATGTGATGCATGCTTTTTTATATTACACTCATTCAGAAAACATTTTGTTTAATTTGTTCATTAAAATCAATTGTGCCATGGTCTGCCTGGATTAATTCACTTAAGTACCACCTTAGTCAAAATATTGCTTGATAGATTTAAACAATGAAGACACACACATGTGTAGTTTTTCAGATGGACCTCTTTTCTTACAGGTATATGTAAAGAAAATAATGATGAATTGAGTCTTACTGTAAATGGAAAATTACTATTTTAATAATTACTGTGGTGAAATTATTTTGTAATACAAATCACTCCCATTGGAAATTTTGAAACTTAAAATTTTATGCATCAGTTTTTATTAAAATAGTATTTTAAAAAGCAGTGATTACTTTTATAAAATTATATTCATGCAATGGATATAACAATGTTTCAGTCAACAATGTAACAATGTTTCAGTCAACGATGAAGCACATATACTAGTATGATGGTGGTCCCATAGATTATAATGAGGTTGAAAAATTCTTATTGCCTAGTAATATTGTAGCTATCATAATGTCATAGTGCAATGCATTAATCATATGTTTGTTGTAACGATGTTGTAAACAACCCTATGTGCTACCAGTTATATAAAAGCATGGACCATACATTTCTGTATAGTGCATAATACTTGATAATGATAATAAATGACTGTTACTAGTTTAAGTATTCACCATACCATTTTTTAATATTAATTTTTCATTTCTTATTGGTTCTTCTTCATTTCCTCTTGGTTCTTACACATATTGTCAAATTTGTCTGCCATTCTTTACAGGCACCTTATGACCATTTCTATGAATTCTTTCTCTGATAGGCTGATTTCCTCCATTTCTTTTACTTCCTTTTCTAGTGATACTTGATTTTTGTGTTTTGTTTTGTTTTTCATATGTGGGTTGTTTCTTTGTGTCCCCATGGTATCTCTGCTCCTGATATCTGGTTATGTAGTTCTCTCTCTCCTGCATTTATTTAAAGGCACAGAATATAACACAACCAAGTACAACACACAAGACACTTAAAAGAAATGTATTCACAATATTAATAACCTCCAGTAATGGTGACCACCAGAGAAAGGCAAATTAGGGGATAAGACAAAAAGAAGAAGAGTAAAAAGAAAGGAAAATAGGAGTGTCAAAATGAAATTGAGAAAATGGAAAAAAGTAAGAGAGATAAGAATAAGACTAAGAGAGAAAAGGGGAACGAACTATATATATGGGAAGAAAACTCCAATAGAACAATCACTAATTCCAGAAAATGCCAGCAACAAATACCTGGGGATTAATAAAAACTACAACACCAACTAATATCAAGTGAGGCAAGAGAAGACAGAAGTAAAAAACAAACAAAAGCAAAGCAAACAAAAACAAAAAAAGAATAAACAAAACAGTCTCACAAAAAAAGCATAAAAATTCAATATAATCAACATTCAAGTAGAAAACAAAAAAAAGGACAGAGGGAAAAATAATTTTTTGGATAGTTAAGATAGCAAAGAGAGAGGTGTGTATGGACTTGTAGGAGGAAATTGAAAATTCCCTATATATTGTATTGGGTAATTAGGGTGAAATTTTAGCAGGGGGTAAACAGAAAAAATAGGGAAAATCTAAAGCAGGAAAGGGTTAAGATAAACAGGACACCAAGAGGGGAAAGGTTAGGAAGGGAGAGATGGCATAAAGGTAGAGTGGAGATAAGGTAAAATGATGCTAAAGGAAAGATGAAAATAGAATGTAGCTTTACTGTCTCTATATCTATCTTTTGGTTCATCAGTTTATAATGTTCTTTATTATCCATAAATGAGTGAGGTCATGTGGTGTTTCTCTTTCATTGATTGGCTTATTTCACTCAGCTTGATGCTCTCCAATTCCATCCAGGTTGCTGCAAAAAGCAACAAGCAGACTGTCGATTTACAGTGGGGAGGGGAGGGAGGTCTGAGGGAGATAATAGATCAACCTAAGGACTTGTATACATGCATATAAGTACAACCAATGGACATAAAACTCTGGGGAGGGAGGGTATGTATGGGAGGGAGGGAGGGGGGCAAAAAAATCAATAAAATATATTAAAAAACAAAAAGAAAGAAAATAGAATGTAGAACACTAATCCAAAAATAAAATGACACTTTAAAGAAAAAAAAGGTAAAATAGTAGTAGTAATGATACTAATTGAAAATAAAAATGTAATAATTAAAAAGGTAAAATCAAGCAAGGAAAAAAGAAAAAAATAATTTCTTAAATAAAAGATGCAAAAAATAAAAATAAAAATAGAAAAATAAAAAATAAAATGTGTAGTAGTGAAGGGCATTCACTACTTCTATTGTTCTATTTGACACTCCTGTTTCCAAGTCCAACAGTATTGCAGTTCCCAGCATTCCACTGCTCCTCAGTGTTGTACTAAATCTGACCTTTCTGTGGTGGAATGAAGAGCTCCTTTGAATCCGAGTGTTTGCGCCAATTGGGGACAGTTGTTCTGGGGCTCCCAGCTGTTCAGTGGTTGCTGCAGTTGTGAATTTTCCAGCTTCTGATAAGATCCACTTTCCCTTTTAAGATGGCACAGTTTTCGCATCAAAGCCCATAGCTCTGGGAGTGGACCCAGCTGCAGTATGGGCTGTCAGGTCAGGAGAACCCCATCTAGCTGTCCCCCACCTTCTCCTGGAGTTTAGTTGTCCCTTATCTTGCTAACAAACACTCCCCATGGGACCCTCAGCTGTTCTTTCTTTTTCCTCCAGGACAAGGCTCAGAACACATCTGTCTATTGTTCTGCCATTTTCTCCAACACTCTATTTTTATTTTATTATTTAAATTATAATATATATTATATATAATATATATTATATAATACATATAATATATAATATATAATAACATATAATATATATATATATCTCCTTTGGTTGATTTCTTCCCACCCACCCCTGCCTTCCCTCTGATATTTGACAGTCTGCTCCAAGTTTCTGTGTCTCTGAATCTATTCTATTCATCAGTTTATTTTGTTCAATAGATTCCATATAAGAGTAAGATCATGTGATACCATTCTCTGACTGGCTTATTTCATTTAGCATAACACTCTCCATTTCCCTCCATGCTATCTTAAAGGGCAAGAGATCCTTCTCTTTTCATCTTCAGACTATTCCATTATGTAAATGTACCACAGTTATTTTATCCACTGATCTACTGGTAAACACTTGGGCTGTTTCCAGGTCTTAGCTATTATAATTTTTACTTCCATGAACATAGAGGTGCATATGTTCTTTCTGATTAGTGTTTCAAGTTTCTTAGGCTATATTACTAGAAGTGGGATGTTGTTATTTAAATTGTTAAATTTTTGTTTTCCAATTATTCAACTTCTATTAATTAAAAAAAATAAGAAAGCAGCCAGAAAAGTGTGGTTCAATGGTTAAGTATTGACTGATGACCCAGGAGGTCATGGTTTTATTCCAGGTCAAGGCACATGCCCAGGTTGTGGCTTGATCCCCAGTGTGAGGCATGCAGGAAACAGCCAACCACTGATTCTCTATCATTATTGATGTTTGTATCGCTTTCCCCATCCTTTCATATCTCTGAAATAAATAAAAACATATTTTTAAAAATAACAAAGCACCAGGAGGCTAAATAGAGTTTTATTCTATATATCTATACCAGCATTATGAAACAAAAATTGTCAAAGATTGTCACTTACTAGCTTTGAAACATTTGAAATGTCACTGTTCCTCTATAGGCTTTGGTTTCTTTATTTTTGAAATCAGGGGGTGTAGTACATCCATTCTGAGCTCCCTTTCAACTCTAACATTCTAATAAACCTAATTTTTCAGTTAAAAAAGTTTTAATCCCATTCACATAAGAATATTACCAAGACAGGACATGATTCTTAACTATATGCAAAACACAAAGTTCTTGTTAGATCAGCTTTAGCTGATCAAATATAACAGTGATGAATTAAACCTAATTTTTCCAAACAGGTTAATTTCTCTTTACAATTTTTGTTTCCTAAGAGAGAGTAATTATTTATTTCTACTTTTCCTTGGGCATTAAATTTGGTCAACCCTAGGCTTAAATGTCAGCTTCACCATTAACTATTTAACTTTAGGTGAGTTGCTTTATCTTTCTGTGATTTGGTTTCCTCATTGGGAATTGAAGCAAAAAAAAAAAAAATCCATACCTTCCAGTATTGTCATGAAGATAAAATGAAAATATACATGAAAATCCTTAGTGCAATGTATGGTACCTGGTAGGTGTGCAAAATATCGTATTGATGGCAATCTATGTCATGTGTAGTTGGTACTACTAAAAAGCTGACCTTTTTTTGCATCTTTCTTATGCCATTTTAATACTGTATTTCATCAATCTTCAGTTAAGCATGCAGATTGGAACCTGAAACGAACTCTTCCCCTGACATCTCCTTTAGCATATACCCTATTGGCTTAAGATCTACATGATTTAGAGGAGAATAAATGAAAAATGTTAAA